AGTATAACTCTAGCTGTATAACTCTAGCAGTATAACTCTAGCAGTATAACTCTAGCTGTATAACTCTAGCAGTATAACTCTAGCGAACCCTAGTGGCTTTTAACAATTTCTTTTTAAAGACTGTCATATATTGTTCGTATATGTTGCTGTGTACCACGAAATAAGTTGTGATGATAATATTGATGATTAAACTGATGTTATTATTATAACTGAGACTAATACTACTGCTCCTACTAGTATATACTACCACTGCCACTGCCACTACCACTGCCCTACTACTACCACCACCACCACCACCACCACCACCACCACCACCACCACCACCACCACCACTATCAATGCGACTACCACTACCACTAATACTATCAGGAGTAAGATAATATAGGATCCTATATTATCTTACTCCTGATACTATCATAATCATCATCATCACCATCACCATCACCATCACCATCACCATCATCATCACCATCATCATCATCATCATCTTCATCATCATCAACATCATCATCATCATCGTCGCCGCCATCATCATCGTCCTTACCTGTGTTTGATCGTCTGCGCTGACGTTTTTCGCCGACACTCTCAGTACGTACTCGTCGCCGAACGTGAACGGGTTGGCGACGGTTGTTCGCACGTAGCCCAGCACCGGGTCCACCTCAAATATCCCGCTACCTGAACACACGGCAAGCACACACACATATACGTACGTGGTATCAGTGTTAGAAATAGCTGCCCGATCCCCAGTCAAGGGTAGTCTATCATCCCCCCTCCTGCTGCTAAAAAAACCATCGCTTTGCACCCCACGCTAACGTTACGTTCATATTGACGTTTGGCAATAGATGGCGCTGCTATGTCAATCATGACACCTCACTCCGCCAACCCTCTCTCACAGAATCTCGGCAATCTCTCTGGATAGAAATTTAGCCAATCACAGTTATGTACATTCCGCGTATCAAATTAATTTCTTAAAAGCACGTGACCGGAAGCCACGTTGCCTCGCGGCTCCGTCGGACGACGCGCTTCGCCGCCGGGGGGCGCCACACTCACTGTTGTAGTCGAGCTCCAGCGTGTACCGGATGTCGCCGGCTCCGGCGGCGCCCTCTGCCGACAGGATGTAGACGACTTCGTAGCTGGCGGCTTCCGGACTCAGTACGGCGCGGAACGGGTAGGGGGCGTTGGTGAACAGCGGCCGCGCTTGGTTGTCGTCGTAGACGTTGATGATGACGTCTCGCTGGGTGACCCCACCTGCAGACGCACAGAAAATAATATGCCATGTAATAAATATATAACAAATAGACAAAATAAATATATAATATATAACTATAGGAGGAAAGAGGAGTAAAGGAGGGGCAAGGAAAGAAGGCGAGAAAGAGGAGGAGGCGGAAGAGCAGCAGCAGGACGACGACGACGACGAGGAGGAGAGGGTGAAGAGAGGAAGGAAAACGGGGAAGGGGAAAGAAGGCAGGGAGAAGGGGAGGAGGAAAGGGCAAAGGCGGACAGAATAATTGGCAATCGGAAGAAAGATGTAAGTAGAGGGGTGTGGGAATGGAAGCAACTTTAGAAAGAGGAGGGCAATGGAAAAGGAAACAAGGGGGTGGATAAAGAAAAAGAGAAAATCGAGGGAGGAATAGAAGGATCAACCTGTGTCGTGCGTAGCGTTTCCTGCACTACGCGCACACTAGCGATAATCACCTACACTAAGCCATGCCTTTGCATAGCATATATACTATATATATATATTTATATCATATATAATAAATATATATATAAACGCACCCAACATCAAAAACGACGAATTTAGGTCTCTTAAGTACCGCCTTTAAAATAACAAACTACTGTTAGTTTTTCCCGTGTATGTATCTTTACTTTCACGGGCAAATCGGCGTATCACCATCATCATCTCCTTCTCTACTTCATCCTAGAGAAATTCAAACAAGCATCACGTCCGCATTTTTTCCTCGTCGCGCGAAATGAGCGAAATCGCCCGAGTTTTTTATATATTTTTTTTAACCGTTAATCCCGCGCAGGAAATTTTTGTTCGTCGAGTAAGGAATGTTTTCCGTTGAGAGTGCTTAGTTTTTACGCCAAAAAAACTCGACGGGTTTCTTGTCGATGTTCGTGTACTTACTACAGACATAATTAGCGACAGAGCGCG